TTCCACTTTATTTTCACTTTCTGGCCCACATGTGATAACGTCCTAAGTGGAGATGAATCTGGATCTGGAAAAACCAAATGTAATTCAGGGTCAAAGTAAATAAATTTAAGTATATGTACCTTTTTAAATATATGTAAAGCTCTGTTTTCTTTACCATTTCCAGCAGAAAACTAATAAAGAGTTTGTTGAACAAGAGACAAGAGGCTAAAAGTCAGGTGAAACTTTGGATCAATAACAGGAGTGGCCAAATTGATTCTAAAGGCTTAAAGGCTTGAAGACTTTTTGAAAGACTAAAATGATTTTGACATATCTATACAATCGAAATAAAACTATTTTCACAGCAAGCAGTCCAGATGACATATGGGACAAATTTGGCCAAATCTGGGCCTTTTCGGTGGCCTGAAACACACGGGCCAAATAAGGCAGCTTCTGGTCACTTTGGGGATACTCCTTTTGGACAAGATCAAAAAGGAGCAGATTAAATCTGACTCATGGTGGTGCTGGTTCAGGACTACGGCAGTGGCCTGTTTCATGAGTGGGCCACACAGTCACCATGGTCCCAAACCGATTGTGGCCAGACCAGTGGCTGGCTGCTCTTTATCAGCTGTGTGCTTCAATCCAGTGATTCAAAGTTTTAATCCCAATCAAAAAGAGTTACTCCAGATTTGATTTGAAAATCCAGATATTTGTGGGTGGGTGTGGACTGCACTCCATAGCATTGGTGTGCGGTGGTGGGAGGTAGGAAGAGTTTTTGGTGGGCAGGACTCCTTGGCTCTAGCAAGACTGGTATGCGTTGCCATGTTTTTCTGTTTCATTGTATGCTCAGCCATGAGATCAGTGGTAAAGGGCTACCTTCTCTCTCTTCCTGTAGGAGATATTGATATTTATTAAGCAGAATGCAGCATGCCCCAGTACAATATGAGCTTCTGGTATAAAACAGGATAGAAATATGCAGGACACAGTGGTAAGTTTTTGTTTTTTTAAAAAATAACTTTTTGTTGCAAACCTATACTTCAGTATAAGAGTACTTAATAGTGACTCTCATGTGTGGATGTAAGAGCCATCCTGAAGCAGAATCCCTAGGGATGCTTCCTTCTCAGACAAAAGGTTGAAACAGCCCAAGAGAATGAGCAGCAGACTGGAAGTTGAGCAGTACTAAAAAGGGAAAGTGCATAAGTAATGCATTGTAGCTGACTACAACCAGAGGTGTCACTACAGAGATGCGAGGGGGCAAACCACACTGTGTGATACCTCAGAAGAGGGTGAACACATGATGACATGGTCATCCCCTCTATTCCAAGACCTCCTTGACCACCCCATTCCACTAGCCTTTTCTGTTCATTGGCTGCAGCTGCTGGTGGGGTAGGGTGCTGCTGCCCAGCAGCTCCTTCTGGATCTGGCTGGGCTGCTGGAAAAGCGACAACAGCAGCAGCCCACCCCCACCAGGGTCTGCTGGTGGAAAGGGTTTGCCTTCTGGGTCTGTTGGGTGGATAGGAAACTGAATCACCTCCCTTTCCCGCTGTCCCGGTAGCTCCATCAGACCCAGAGAAGAGTACCAAGCAGCAGGAGCAGCCCACCCCCATGATGGCAGCCTGGCTGCTGGAGGGGGGCAGCTGGGAGTGCCAACACAAGTTACCACACTGGGGTGACACCAACCTTAGTGACACCATTGTCTACAACAAATGCTAATCTCTGATCTGTGTGCTGGGAGCAGTAAAATATTCACACACCAGGTCAAATGTGGAATCAGTCCATATAGTTCTGTGATGTAGGCAGTCTGTTCTTCATGCCTATGTTTAGTTTGGGGAAAGAGTCTATATTAGGGGGGCATTTGGTCCTTGGGGCTGCCTTTCTCTTTACCTGTGTAATGTTTTTAGCATTTATTTACAGAGGGTACCAACAAAGAATCCACAGTATTTTGGTCCCAATTCAGTCAGCAGCCCCTTCCATTAATTCATCCAGAATTCAGTTTAAAAAATTATCACTCTTTTACAGTCCCTGGCCATTTCAGTGAAGATTGTGAATAAGTTCTGAATTATTGTATCTCCCCCTGGGCCAGCTCTGTCTGCTGTCTCTGTCACCTTTAATAGTGACTATAGGCAGGGCCCAGCCAAGACATTTTGTTTCTCAAGTCAAAAGACAAGATGGTATCCTGCCCCCATTTGCTGTGAAGAGGCTGACCCACCATTCACAGTTCAGTCTTACTTTAAGACAAGTGGAAATATGAAGTTCTTCATTGCACTTAAGGGCAGCAGGTTCGTTTAGGAGGTCATACCACATGACACACACAGCTCTGTCCTCTAGCATCTTGCTATTGCTCCTCTGTTCCCCTACATTTCTTGTTTGCAGCAGCTGCCTCACTCTGCCCTACAGTAGGGCTGGCCCTGCCTACTATCTACCAGTTGAAGCACTTGATACTGCTTTGTGTCAGGGCTGCCTCTGAAAGGGTTAACACCCAGAAGAGAAATACATGCTTTTTAAACAAGTTGGGACACAGCCCTGTGTGCTGAGGATTTGCAGTTGGCTAAAAGCTCCCAGACGTGTATCCACATGATATTACCCTTGATCTTAGCCAAAAGGCTGAGAAGCTGTGGTAGAGGTGGTGGCGGTGTTCCTGTTTCCACATGCATGCCATTCTTTTCCCCTTCAGATATTCCAGTGTTCCTTAAAATAGGCATGCTATAAACATGTTAAGTGAAGTGGTAGGAGGTCCAAATTACACACAATACTCAGCCATTTGTCTTTTGAAAGAGGAAAAAGAACTGCTTAGTCTCCTCCTGTCATTTGTGGGCCTGACTGACCAGTGGCTGGAGTGCAGAGGTCTGCCTAAATCCAAGTCACACAGAGAGATGGAGGAGCCTGTAACCTGACCCTCTCATTCCTGCCATATTTTGTTTGTTCACTCTCAAAAATGGGCAATGAAAAGCAGGGGGGGGGAGGACTGCACTATGATGGGGATCCTTTTCTCATAATGAGGGAGAGAGACCAGCACAACAAAACAGATGCTTTCTCCATAATCTGGCCTGTTCTTCTGTAAACCTCCTCCACAGCTTTGATGTCACCTCAACACATTCCATGTGTTTCCAATAAAGTATGTTGTATTTGGGGGCTGCTTTAAGGGAGGAGGAGTTGCCATCATTGAAAACAGGTCTATGTGTGCTTCTTGTGAGTCAACTGGGATTTCTTTCAGGATGATCCACTGTTTTTCAAGTTTCTTGAATCACCTCCCCCTTCCATTATTTTACTTTCTGGGTTCCCTTAATATCACCCATCTGTTCTACACCAGAGTGTCAAAGAGATGTGTGTTGGTGGCTGCACTGCATGTAGTCTGCTGATGCCACTAAAGAGCTTGTCTTATAAAAACCATGAACTTCATTTGGGTAATTTTGAAACATACAACCATATTAGCCTTGTTGTTGTGGGCCTTCAAGTAGTTTCTGACTTATAGCGACCCTAAGGTGAATCTATCATGGGGTTTTCTGGGGCTGAAAGTGTGTGACTTGCCCAGGGTCACCCAGTGAGTTTCCATAACAGAGTAGGAAATTGAACCCTGATTTCCAGAATCGTAGTTGAATGCTCAAACCACTACACCACACTGGCTCTTCATGTTAGCTTACTTCACTGTAAAAGGGAACAGCTAGAGAGAAATCTAGAGGCACCTTTAAAACTGAAAGTTCCCCCCCCATCTCAAAAAAAAAGTCTCTGAATGCCCCAGGTTTCGTTCCTGTACAAACATATTTACAAAGTTGAGAGCTTCCCGGATTTACAAATTGGCCAGCTGAAGGCAGATTTTAGCCGGATTTTGGCAGGGATGCAGCTGGGAGGTGGCAACAGCAGCAAAATCTATGCAGTAATACTCGGCTGCATCCCGAATTTGAATTTAACTCAGAAGAGGTAAATTGGGTTTATTAGTAATGCAATAATTTCCTAGGTGTCTGCATGTCCTCCAGTAAGCACATGTATAACTTCTAATTTCCGCAGGTCATTGTGACATTGAAACATGCGCAACTCTACAGATAATTATTAAACTGTGTATCCAGTGGGAAGGGTGTAGGATATACTAACACCCCAGAAACAAGTAAATTGAGGACCATTTCTGGCTGAGTGTTCAGCCAGAGCAAAAGGTGAGTAGTTTGCAGGATCTCTCTCTCTCTCTCTCTCTTTCGGCCTGCCACCTGTTCTCCCTACCCTTCTGCCTTCTCTCCACATGCCTTTGAACATTATCACATGAGTCTTGATCTCACCACAATTACAGTAGTAAAAGGAAATGGAAACATACCAATTTAGGACCATTCATTATCACACATCTCTGCAATAGCACAACTGGGCTGTCCATATGATTAATGGTCTCCAGCACTCTCTTCCACATTCCTCTTTTTAAAAAACCCTTTCCTGCCCTGTGCCCTATCTAGTATGCCTTTTATTTATATTTTACTTGTAACATAATTACAGAATTATGTTAATGCGATTTAGGAGTTTATCACACGGGGGAAATTCCGTGCGAAAACGGGGCTTTAAATTAGAAATAAACTGCAAAAGCGGTCATGATTTCACACAACGTAGCTGTTAAATTGATGTTAAAAGAAGGTTAACATAAATGAAAACCCCTCATTTATGCTTCTTTTTACTTTTGGAAAAACCCGAAAGTAAAAATGAGGGGATTTCGTTTGAATTAACCTTCTATTAACAGCACTTTCACATTTCACACAGGGCAGAATGGGAGAAATCCCATTCATTAAAAGCTTCCGCTTTTGCAGCTTTTTTTCACTTTAAAGAGCGATTTTGCACAGGGCTCCCCATGTGATAAACTCCTTAGTAAGAAAAAGAGAAAAGAAAAGAAAAGAAAGTGAAAAAAAGAAAACAGTCTGCTTGGGAATAGGGAGAGGGAGAAGGGATGAGGAGGAGAATCATGCATACTGACACCACATAACTGCCCAATATCAGAACTACAGTGGGAGGAACTTGTACACATGAGGTAATGGGAAAGCAACATAACTGGGACCTTATTCACAGGTTTTTCCATCAATGCAAAGGGATGCTATAGCAATGGTTTGAAGGCAAAGCACTGATGAGATAGAGGAGATTATTACTCACCCAAATAAAGTGTCCTCTCCCTGATGGGATAAGATCATGTTAAGGGTTACTATTGGATGTTATTGCATGCTAAAATGCCAACTCTGTCGCAGGGCAACATAGGGGGGATGCAGACCAGGGCGTCCAGGACGCCCTGGTCCGGAGCGCCGTGGGGCCATGGCAGCCGCACCGCGGTGCTCCTGCGGCGTCCCTGGAAGGAGCGCTAAATCAGCGCTCCTTCCTCAAGACAGCGAAAGTGCACCCTAAACGCGTAGGGCGCACTTTCGCTGTCTTTTCCGCTGCAGCGCATGCGATCGCTGCGGTGGGAGGTTGCCCTGGAAGCGCCGGCCGTGCGGAGGGCCGGCAGCTTCCAGGGCGACCTCAGGAAGACGAAGGAGCGCCGCGCGTGCGGCTGCTCCTCCTCTTCCTGGGCTCGGAGACAACCCTTTTAGTCATCTGCCGAGGCCCTAAGTATGGAAGTTTCCCATTCTTGAAAACTGGTGGGCTAAGGATGTTATCACACGGGGGCAAATCTGCTGGTTAATCCACACACGACGTCGCACAGAAACTGGACAGAAAGTGGACAGAAACTGGTGTTATCCAAGATCTTTTGAAATTCGGTTGTTTGGAGGAAATGCAAATGCGAAATTAAGGTAATTCTGCATTTACCGTAATATGAAAAGCAAATGCTCATTTGGGAGCATTTCCCTGCTGTTCCCATGGTTCCAGCAAGCATTCCTCTATCTGCGCATGTGCAAGAAGCTCATTTCTAGTACATTTACGGGCTTTTCTCACTTGTGTGTGAATGTTAAATGCGCTTACTTTAATTTCGCAATTAAGGTAATTACGTGTGAAAGCCATTTGCAGAATCAAGGTTTATTTTCGGTTTATTTTCGGAATGCCTCATTTCCACTTTATTATCGCTTTCTGGCCCACGTGTGATAACATCCTATGTGCATCTGGGAGATGGGTTGTAGTCGCCCTGTGACAGAGTTGGCATTTTAGCGTGTGATAACATAGATAGCACCCCATAATGTGACATTATCTCATCAGGGAAAGGACGCTTTGTTTGGGCATGCAATAATCTCCAGAGATAATATTGTGTAATAAGTATGGCCAAAGATGCTATGTGTGATAATCTCCTTCATCTGTCATGCATTTCAGCTTCCTCAAAACATGTTGTGACATGTCTTACAGAGGATCACATGAAATTAAACCAAGGCATGTACATTCTACACTGCCTCAACTCTAGGTAAACCTAGGAAGCTGCCTTATAAGAGACTATTTCTCCATCTAGCTAAGAGTCCCCACTCCAGGTTCTTGCACAAAAGGAACTCTTTCTTCATAACCTGCTATCTGATCCTTTTAGCTGTAAAATCCAGGGATTTAACCTGGATCTTCTGCAGGCTTTAGTCATGGATCTAAATCATCCTATATCTCACATTCAGAGAGCAACTGAGGGCCATCCCATATATTATAAGATAGCAAATCTGCCTTTTCATTTAGTGCATGCTCAATGGGGAAAAGACAAATCTTTCCATAGCAACATGAAATATGCCATTCCAAAATGAAACAAGCAAAAACAACTTTTATTTATCAGCTTTTGTCTAGTTCCCCTTGATTTTTCAAAAAAGAAAACTTGGACCTAACAATAGTATGCCATATTTTCAAACAACAAATCTGAAACCGCTAGAGCACTAACCTTCTTCCAGCAACTTGCAATGCAGATCTTAGCTGGATTTAGTAATTAATTGTCAATTATATATTAGATTTTTTATATTTAGATGATTAAATAGAATCCCCACTATATCAGTGGATGGCCAGTAGTTTTGGCCACTTTATAAATAACACTTTTGGAGAATCATTATTAACAAAAAAATCTACCAGGGATGCAGAGTTTAGACCAGCAGATGTGTCAACCTGAATTACAGATGTGAGAGTCAAGCATTTTCATGCATTTGAGCAAAACTGAATTTTATTTAGTTTCAGTAAATCCTAAAACAATGTAAACCCATACATGCCTGTGTAATTTCTTTTCTTTTTCATATGTTACCCTTTCTCATCTGATTATGCCAGGCATTAATATTACCTATGTGGCACAGCTTTGTTCATTTGTCTTGTTTTGTTTGGGGGGGGGGGGCTATACAGAGTATTGGTGGAAAGCTGATCAAGAAGAAAAAAAGCAACTATGTTCATTTTGCGCTTTTATTGCTATGAAATATTAAGCCCTGACAATGTACTACATGCAGAGTAGAGGAAGAGTGCAGATGTGATGTGTTTCCTACCCAGAGGGCTTACAGTGCAGTTAAGACAGAGGGAACAAAGGTGAAAGGCGGATGACAGGGTTTGATAAAGGAGCAGGGCATGACCAGGGAAGGAGGGTTTAATTGGTAGCCAGCAAAGCAGAAAGGAGGAGGCTATGATAGTCTAGGGGAGAAATTACATAAGATGTGGATTTGAAGAAGGAGGGGGAAGGGAGACAGAGATGGACAAAAAGCAGGAAGAAGACTGTTCTAGGCACAAGGAGTAAACAGCACAATAGTGGCAAGGCATAAAGGCAGGGGTGGTGGGAGGATGGAACAAAGAGAGGACCAAGAGCCAACAATTTGTGCTGCTGACCAGAAAACAGCTGGGGGGAGGACTGCAAATTCAGTCCAAATTTCTGTTTTCTTTGCTATGCGTTCCAAGATTGGGAAGGCTCTGTCAAAGCAAAGGTGGTGTTGATGGTGTGGTACACCATTGTATCCATCCTGCTCTGGAAACAGTTTGACAGAACTCAGCCAAATTTCACCAGAACTTCCATAAATGGTTCTGAAATGCATACTGGGTATAGCTTCCATGTTGGGAAGGTCAACAAGGCATTCGTCTGGTAATGGGATGCTTCCTCAAGGTGCATGGAAATGCCACCAGATTTTAATATGCCTATCTGCTAATTTGTTTATGGGAAAGTCACACATTCAGTTGGAACTGAGGAACATGCTACTAATTTTTATTTCTAGTAGAGTTCTATGAGATTTCTTCTTACTTTCCTAAGCTAGTCTGTTTCTTAAATCTCAAAACAAAGTGGATTCCATCCGACCTCATGTTTTGGACACTTGCTTTCCTTCTAAATATGTCCTAAATGATCTATTGCTTTCCCAATGCATGGATAAGCTGCTCCAGTTTTCTCTGTCAGGCACAAAACTACGGTTTCAGCATAGATATTACAACAGAGATATTAGGGCCTCATTCACACTTGCGTTTTTGTGCTGGATAGATCTGGGTAGATTCACTGATGCAATACCAAATCTGACCTGAATAGAAGTTTACACTAGTTTTACCCCAATCGAATCTCTCTGGCACAATTTAACCCTGCCAAGTTCACAGTGATCAAAGTACCAATTAAAAATGGAGCCTCCTTATTGATTGCATTCAATCATTTTTGGGTTTGTTGTTGTTGTTCTGTTAATCAAATGATGCACATCTGCATCACACTGTTTGGGTGAAAAAAAAACCCATCAGCCTCGGAGGATGAGGAGGATAAGCCT